TGCTGGGACGTCGCATCCGCGCGTTGAAACGATACTCGCGCGACCGGTCTGGCCGCGAGGGCGGTTTTTGCTGACAGTCACAAGCAATGGCACGTACCCAGCAAAATGCAGTATAACTGCATTATGTAAACGGATTTTTAAAGCTAGAGCCTAGCATGTTGGTGTGTTGTTTATGTTTATCGGGAAACAATGATAACCATGGCATAGTAGTTGTGCAAAGTAGATTCTGTGGACTTATGCATTTCTTTTGTTCAAAAGGCAATGACCTTTGGTACAGTATGTTAATCTTAAATATCTCATTGGTTGTTGGTAAGGCCTGGGAATTGCTTGAGAAAACGCGGATATATGTGTGGGAGATGAAAGGACACCCGTAGTTCATAACGGTACAAATGGATAGCTCTCTCTTGACCTTTTAAGTATAAAGAGTGGTCCATGATTACGGGGAAGAAGGGATTGCACTTTTCCTTTGCCTTTCTTCTTTCTCAATGTTATAGTTCAACTTCTTTTCACTAGCTCTAGACATCGAAAATGTCAAAAGTAATCTTTTCTCATGATGATGCAATGAGTATTACTCCTGCGCACAGGGCTCATCGACGAATCTAAGAACTATTGAAGATAACGGCTTCAAGAAATGTCGGCTTGCACTTCATTCAGAAAGTAGTTAAAATGGGTTGTAAGATTATAGTGTTCTACACTTTGCGCATCCCTTAAAATAATATTCAAGCGATTCATTCGCACTAAGGAATTCTGTTTGAATGCACTGAAAACCGGATTAGACGGATCGTTCTCCACTCCGATTCTGCAGAAAAATTTTTTTCAAAAGGGATAGGCCTTCCCGACATATGTTGAAACAGTATGCCTTCGGGATTAATCCTAACTGAATAATTGCTTTTCTTATTTCATTGATAAAGCCTCAGCAACTTCATCGGTTAGTAATCAGCACTTAAAAAATCTAAGTCGGAAAAACTTGAGTCACTGATTATTGGCGGAAAAAGCGTACGCCTGATCTCCATTCACTAGGAGTAGGTCATCATCCTCTCCCAAACTTCCTTAACCACTTTTCTTAAGTGATTCTCATTATCTAGCCAACTATTTCTAGCAATAGACCAAGATTTTAACTCTCCTTTATTGGCTAACGTTTCGGCGGTTTCGCCTTCGTCAGAGCCTGGAAAGCCGAGTACATAAGCAATCTTTCCTCTCAGACGCCAACAAAAGGCTCAAGATAACATTCAATCAGAAGAAAGTTGAAACACCACCAGAGTACGACAGCAATACTCACCTTAGATGACAG